ATGATGCGTGCAAAATATTACCATCCGTTACTCTTGCCTTCGGAAGAAAGTCGGTAATTTCTGAAGCAAAATTTTCGGAACTGAAATTATTTTTCGGCCTGGGCGACCCGTGCGATCTTCAATAGGACTTAGGGTTAAAAAGGAATCAAAATAGTTAAAGAATTACTTTTAATATACTTCGGTTTTCGGCAATTTTAAAGGGAGGTATATTAGCTGCCAACCAGGTCTTCCGAACCAGCTTGGCCGGTTTGAGCCTTCGCATCTTTTAACTTTTTGGCCTGTCCTTTCCGTTCGAATTTTTTATGCGCAGCGTCTTTGAGCGGTATACTAAACAGGTTTACACTTATCAGCATAGCTTAATGCACTATTGAAAAATTACAAATTAATTAAAAAAAAAAGAAAGGTACTTGGAAAATGACTAGTTAATTGCTTAGATCCCCAATGGAAGCTGTAATTCGGATGAATGATTGATATATAGTTCTATATCGGATGAACACCTTCGGAGGAATGACACCCTCAGTACAGACAAAGGAAAGCAAACAAGAGTTATTTAAATATCAGTTGTTGTTTAAATACAGGAGAGTGTAAAAAATTTATATGCAAACCTCTGTTATTATAAGTAACTATTGTAGTTTCCCTAAAGACACCATTATTTAACACGTTAAAACTGTTATTAAAACAGGTAAAGATCTCAAATTAAAAACACTAGATACAACTAGGCTGCTTACGTACAATCGGTAACCATATCTCTAAAAGTTAGTTAGAAATCAAGGCTTTCTTTAAGCTTAGATAGAAAGTACAGATATAAACAACCTGATGTAGCAATAAATATTTATCCCTATTGAAGCGCTCGCTATTTGTAATTCTACATATGTATTAATTTTGATTTTTAGCTAAAATTCAAGCAATAGTAATTAGATTTCAGCTAGATAACTCATTGGGTGCATTGACATCGTCAATAGGAGAGAATTAAGCCGAGACCTATATACAGCGTAAAGCTTAGTGGGTGCTATCTTTGCGACTGGCCACTACATGTTATCATTCACCGGATGTTCCAATATGGAGATATCTAGCAATACGTTTAATTAGTACGATTACCGGCTCCTGATGCGACGCTATATACGCGTCAAATATTACCGACATATATAATCTAGATAGGCGTATTTCTATGGTAATGATTAACAGGTAGTCTTCCGCTATGGAGGAAGCAGCGTGCGCTTGTCGTGACATGGTTGCGCTTGGCACAAAAACCCCGTGTGTGGGCGTAATTTGGCAACAGCTTACGAGTGATATGAAATCTTTTTATGTGGATACATCTTTTACTGGCACTTTATTGAAAAAAAAAAACGAATACATAACAATGAGGAGAAGATTATACAGTTCAACAAAGGAGCGACATCATATCGCGTTCTCAATGCGCGCGGTAGCATGTCGACTCATTGAAACCCTGTCAATTGCACAAGTACCACGCGTTTATTGTATATCGAACGATAAAAAATGACGAGGAGCTTTCAAGAAATAGATAGATACGAATTTTCTATCTATCTATCTATCTATCTATCTATCTGTCTATTCCACCTTATCTCTAAACAGAATAATGGGATTGAATATACGTACTTCAAGTTTTTGGCATTTGTTTACTATTTCATCTATTTACGTCGTATGAATTTAAATTAAGCATGTCTTTGTGCTTTCCGTTTATGATGATGGTAGTAGTATCGACACGTCTATAATACGGTAACTTGCTTAATTTTCTGCCATATTGTTGTGTTGATTCATGTCTGCCACAGGTTTCGGGATTAGAGGGTAGGCAGCTTTGTCTAATCGATAACAAGCAAGCTACTTGCGCAACAACATTGTGTATTTGAAGAGCTAACGAATGATTTTACAGCCATTGTATTTTCATAGTTAGGACAAGAAAATGTCCAGCTTACTAGCTGTACGAAATAGATGCGCCAGATTTTAGCGAGCGGTTCGTCACAACAGGCATGTGTGTGTATCGGCTATTGTTTGTAACAGGAAGCCTATCTTTTCCTAAATCGATGCACAAATTCAGCATGCGAATTAAACATACTAGCCACGGTCCAATATGGCTCTACTAGAAACAGCTTCTGTCCTATACCGAAGAAAGGGAAATTCTGAGGATTCTACAGTTAATCAATAGATCTTCGATGAAGCTGGTTCCTCCTTGCTGCATCTCGGAAGCTAAAATCAACTTAGGCCTACTGTTTCTGCAGTCGCCTACAAAGAGAGCAAGGGCAAACCCTGTGTCACCAGAGTCGGACGAAAGCTCTCTGAGGGCAAAAAGCGAGTAAACTTGATTAGAGTCATTTGCAACACGCCGTTTTGAATTCTTTAGCGACGTATGAAACTTACTGTAGATCGAAAACTTAACTGCGGGAATGACCATCGGCTTACTCACTGTTCAGACAAATCTTCATTTCGGCTAAGAGCGAACTTTCAGCCAGACAAAATACTTTCATACTTCCGGTTCACTAGCAGAGATTCTTCTTCGGATGTTCTGAGAACTGCAATATGGTGTGTAGTGGCAAGTTGTATGTAAGACAGCACGTTTGTTATGTGGAACATACACCAGATACACAACTACTGGCTTTGCGTTTACGTTATCTATCTATGTGAAAAAGACTGCAACGATTTTAGATTCACCTTTTTACCAACTGCTCCCTATGTATGAATGTATGGCCCCGCATAATATTGTGAGACGACGACTACTACTATACGCGTTTTAATCGATCGCAAACTTTGGAAAAATCAACTACTTTTTTCGATGTTTCTAAATTGTGCTTTCGGCTCTCCGACATTTTGTCGTCTGCTTACGCTCGATGTGCTTTCCTTTGCTTAGAAAGGTAAACGAACAGGGAAATAGTCATGCGTCTTTCATTCGTCATAAAGTATCCGCAGTG